GGGTGTCCCTGCCCATGGCAGGGGGGTTGGAACTAGATGATCTTTAAGGTCCCTTCCAACCCAAACCATTCTATGATTCTATTTCTTTTTCTCTGCATGTATAGAGAAACTGAGAGGAAGGGAACTAGCTCTCCTACCAAAGCAGCACAGCACGATGGTGTTTGCTAGGACTACCAACAAATCAAACTTGCATTCCCTGATGTGAGTCACTTTCCCACTCCGTGTGACTGCACAGTCCACGCTTCCTCGTCCCCACCAGTCCCCTCTCCTCTCTCAAGCCCACCACTGTGTGTGAAGAACAGACTTGTTTGCCTGACCTAGAAGATATTCACAGAAAAATTCAGGTACAATCAGTAGTCCAACAGATTCTGGAAGTCGTATCCGACTCCGGATGCCTCAGCCTTCCAAACTGACATACCTTTTAGCAAATTCCAGGTAATCCCGTAGCTCTGACAAGGAGTAGATGTCCCCGAGGGGATTTTGGGGATTCAGAAGAATTAAGGCCCTTACAGTGACACCCTGCAGAACATAAATAACGCAGTTTTAAGAAAGCACCCATCATAGGATAAATTTTCAGTCCCTCTACTCGAGCAGTGAGTGTGACACAAGATTCCCCTTAAGTTTCCACCTTCACTTTTCAACTCAAAGGTTAGACTTGTATGAGAAAACTTCTAGCCACAAATTAAGATTTTTTTTAATTTATTTTTTTTTACAGTTATATCACTTGCAAAGTGAATTGAGGAAAAGATTATAGAATGAATCTATGATTTTTGAAAAGAGGGATTCTGCCACAACCATTGCCACCTGGTCAACCAATTAATGAGAAAGATGCTCTGACACGTTCTCAGCGTGGTGCATCTCTGAGCTGTAACAGTAACTGGGCAGTAACAAATTACTGAAGATTGCCCATGAATGAGGCAAGAAAGACAGGAACTTGAGCTACATGGATGCAAACTGTTCTCATTTAGAGCACACTTGGCTGGAGATGTCAGAGCTGGTTCTAAAGATACAGCTCAACATATATAGGGCTTAGGAGGATGTCAAAACTCACAGACTAACTCTTCAGAAAGGTGATACTCATCTGCATTTATCCTCTAGATTTGCACCTCTCTTCCTCCTGCAAAAACTCTTGGTCACCTTAGTGGATTTGTCTGCACTACTGTGTAGAGCAACCAGTTCTGGGGTAGCTCAGCTGGCCTTCCTGAAGGAGAAACCCTGGGTGGCCCCTACTTTTTAGTGCATGTCCAAGTACACTTTTTGGTGATACCAATGGATTGCAGTGCTTTGTGAATGGTCTGGTACTCCTGCTTTATCCTTTCTGCTGTGACCAAAATTGGACAGATGTGACACCGAGGAATTCCCCCTAAGATTGCCCTGGAGTTTGCAAGCAGCCTAATCTCAGGTGGTCTACAAGGACAACTGGAAAGCCAGGTGCTAGGTTTTGAAAATATTTCCATCTTTAGGCCACTTTTGGGACCTGCTGCCTCAAAACATATTGTAGACTTCACTGGTAACACGAAGCTCAGCTACACTCACCTCTGCCCTGGCATCCTGCAAGGCTTTTTCCAGTTTTTCCACCGTAAGCTGAAAAGGCCGAGTGCTTGTTCCAGTAACCTGAAAGACATGACAAAGATAAAAAAGGCCAAGTTATTTCAGTAGAGTCTGCCTTGAGCCAATCCCCTGAGGAATGTTCCCCAAAAGAAAATAAAAAACCAAAACCAATGACCTAGTATCCACCTTCTTATCCTTTTAATACTACAGAGAAAATAAATAAATAAAAAAAAAAATCAAAGAAATGTTCATCATAGGCTGGTTACACACAGAATTCTCTGGTTATCCTTGAATAAATAAAACAATGCAAGATCTCCATCGGCTCTTCCACCCCTGGGATCATCTTTAGTAGGACAGCACATCCTTCTGTCTCCAAGGCTCAAAACAGCCATTTTTTCCTCTCAAGAGCAGTTACAAGAAAAGGACAAGACAGGAATCCAGATTTATGGTCTCGAAGAACTTTCTTGCAAACGACGTGCCCGGTTTCCCAGCAATAAATTGGGAAGATGTTCACGGGCTGCAGCCTACCCTTGTTTTGAGGACTGTGTGCAGAGGTTCCCAAAGCTCAGCACTTTCCAGCATCAACTATTTTTCAACTAGAGGTGGGTATTCCCTTCCCTTGGATCTTACCTTACTGTCTAAATAGGCATACACCAGCTTGACATTACCGTAGAGGAAGACACCTTGAGTGATACCACCGTAAAAGGGAGTAGCAATCAGAACAGCTTCTGGAACCAAGAAAACAAAATTGGTTATCAACAGGTCACAGTCCTTCTCTCTCTTCTAATGTACTTCAGCTAAACATGACAGCTTTTTTACAGCTGTGCCCTCTGGAAACACTGTGATGTCACTGCCTTTTCCTCCACTTTCTTTTTACATTAATTCTTTAATCTTCTGCAAGAACCAGGTAAACACGAGTACAGCCCACATTTAGTCGACCAAACTAAAACAGGGCACCATGAAAATGGGGAAGGCACACAGGGCAGGACACCAAGTGTGAGCGCATGACATGGGCAGACTGTGGGGACGATGAATTTCGCAGCACAATCTTGCAGGAAACAAGAACTGTGCAATAATTCCGCTACTTCACTTCCCTCAAACAATATTTAGACAGAGTAATGCATTAGTTCCCAGCAAAAATAAACATTAAAAATACCCCCCAACCATCCACTTACCCCCTGGATCACAAAGGACTGTAGCTAACGCAGAAAATAGCGAGCCACAGCCATTTAAAACAATCACCTACAGAAGAAAGAGAAAGGCCAGTGATAAATCTGTCCATAAAAAGGCAACACTATAAAATAATAATTTCTGATCATAACACTGAAATGTATTTTCTCCCCAATTCTCTAGCAAAATCTAGAAATCCCACTTCTACCAGAAATAACTTTAATCCCGTTCTTCACTTCAGAGACGCTTTGTCCCAGTGGCGTTCTTGATTCTAATAAGCAATTTAGAAGAACAGTAGGCTTTAAGTAGGGGAAAAAAAATAGGAGCAGTTCTGAAAGGCAAGAAAAGCAAACTACTTTTCATCAGCTCATATGTGTTACCGTCTCCTCGTGGTAACAGCAGCTCCGACCTCCTGCCAAGTCTGTGCCAAAGTGGAAACCACTGTCTCGTACGGGAGCAGGTTTGACTCCTGCTCCTAAAGACAGATGCTCACAGGTCCCACGAGTTTCACTCCAAGTATCAGGAAGAATCTGCTGCCTTGGAGAAGCAGTGACCAGCAAACTGAGCAGTGGTAACTTATCATAGAATGGTTTGGGTTGGAAGGGACCTCAAAGACCATCCACTTCCAACCCCCCTGCCATGGGCAGGGACACCCTCCACTACACCAGGTTGCTCAAAGCCTCGTCCAACCTGGCCTTGAACACTTCCAGGGATGGGGCAGCCACAGCTTCTGTGGGCAACCTGTGCCAGTGCCTCACCAACCTCAGTTCATATGAAGAATGGGCTCCTGCAGAATTCTAGCAGCCAAAAAAGCAACGGCTGCATCAGCTCCTGCTGCCTTTGGATCTCAGCAGAGGCAGGAGACCCCGATCTCCGCAGGTGCCTGCACCTCTCCAGGTCAGCAAGTCCTGCGAAGGCTCAGGTCTTGCTGCCTTCCTTACAACACTGCTGCAAAGTTCGAAAAGGTTTGTTTTTCCAGGCTAAATCTGCTCTTGCCTCAATTATAGATTTTTGTCCTGAGGTGCAATAGCAGAACGGGACAAAGTTTAAACTCAACGGAAGCAATGGGCGTTGTTTGTCAAGGCTGAGGGATAGAGGCACAGTAGATCCCAGAGCTGAATAAGGAGATGGAAACATAAAGCCCAGCTGAGAGCACTGGCACGAGGAGCTGGCACACAAAAGGAAAGCATGAAGCAAATATACAGAAAACCCAAAGTGTATTGGCTGAACTGTGCATCAAAAAGCACTGAAACAGCTACGAATCAATCTCATTTACACGATCACAGGCTGTCACCTTACCAAGTCATTTATTTAAAAAAAAAAAAAAAAGATGAAACTGTTTGACAACAAATGGCAACACATTAGAACAGACACCAAGGGAAAGTGGGTTACCCACATTTTCTGCCTTAAGAGGTGCAGGCGCCTTGCAGTAATAGGTCAAAAATCGAGCCACTTCCTCCCGTAAACTGAGAAAGACAAAAAAGCAAATAGTGATTCAGCTTATTCTCCAAAAGGCTGGGCTTCCCCAGGTCCACATCTCAGGAAAACGAAGCCAGGGCACAGTAAAGTCTGGTGAAAACAGCTAGCAAACAGGATAGCTCAGGCCCATGCCACAGACATGACTTTTTACACACAGCAAAGGTGTCACAGAACGTCTGTGATGGTGCATCTGTTTCTGATGAGCATCTATCAAGGCACAGAAGAGAAGCACTGAAATCCCCAAGCGTTCACTATGTTTCAAGGAACTGCTTGGAGTCACCCATTTTGTCAATATATACAGCGCGTTGAAAACTGTGTTTACTTCAGAAAATTTGCACCTTCTCTGACATAAAAGGATTTTTAACTGGATGAACTGGTAGGGCAGCTAATGTACAGTTTTGCAACGAAAAAGATGATTAAAGGACCTAGAAAAGTTTTAACTAGTGAGTGTAGCAGAAGTGGTTTATATTCCTCCATTCTGCTTATCAGATTATTAGTCAAAAAGAGAAGTGTTACAGAAAAGAGAAGACTTACAACATATGTCCCTTCCAGTCAGGATACTGAAGCAGTGGAGGCTCCATCAGATTCATATCGGTCTGTGTCAGCTAGGAGCAACGAGAAGAACCATTAAAAGCACAGTCACTGATACTGGAAACATGGGGATAGATGGGACCCATGTACTGGCACATATCTGCACAGACACACACGTGCGACTTCAACAGTCGTAAAACTGGACTGAGAAAGCCACTGACCATCAAAATTAAAGCAGCTGGGAGAAGCCAGGACCAGCAAACCCATCAGGGAGAACTTCAGGCTACGTGAAGTACGGGCTTCTGCTAAGTCACTGCAGCCAAAACTGTGCTGCCCAGAGATGCAAAAAAAGGGAGGCAGAACAGGCAATACACACACCACCCATAACCAGGACGCCTGCAGAAGACCTTCCCACCCAAGGAAGCAACCCAAAGAGTCCCAAGAAGTCTTTTGCCCAACTTCTCAGGACAACAGCTTTCAGCTGGGAAGTAAGCCCCAATTGTGAAAGCTCAGCTCCAGACTGTCAGAAAGAGATAGAAAGGATTTTGAATCGCAGTCAGATACGTATTTTCTTTAATAAACTTCCAATATATTAATTTTTAAACAAATTCCAGCTTTCATTTATGTCGCGGGTCCAAATTACTGCAGCTCCTTCGGATCTACAATTCTGATAAGTTTTGGTAAGTGTTCAAGCATAAAGGGAGCTTTTGAAAAAACAGGAGAAAAACGAAATTATCTTCTCGATAATTCTTCCCTGAGGCAGGCACTTTGTTCCTTACTAGGACTTCATTCGGATCTCAAAGACGGATTCACCTGAACTGTGGAGCCCTTTTCAAGGTTTATATTTAGATAAAGTATGTACACTGCTTTTATCTAAATATTTTCAAGGTTGCAAATATCAGGGTTTCACATAATCCAGTTCTATGAAGTTGCAAGGGAAAGCACAGCGGTGACACAGGCAGAGAGAAGACGACACTTTACACAAACAAAAAGGGAATAAACAAGTATTATGTACAACAATATCCAATGGCAACCAAATCTATGAGTTAATATTTCAAAAGGTGAGGGTGGGGGGGGACATATCGAGTAGGTGAGGAGGGAAATTCAACATGCAGTGTGAAAGTTTCCCACGTTATAACAAACCCACAACATTCTGTATTGGTGTTTTAAACTCCAGAGCTTGGCAGCAGTTTTTAAAGATGCTGTCCTTATCCCATGCGGGATTATAATCTGGTATTACAGGACTAAAGTTCCTTTACTCATCTGTAGATGTTCTCGAAGCCTACGTAGCCCAGAACTGTGCCTCCTTAGATCTCTCTCCTAAACTCATCTAGAGAACGCAATATAAAACTTACCAGCAGACTTAGCCAAAAATAACTATGCAATAATAAAGAGGAGACCCCTGAAAGGTAACGTGCTCAGGCAATCTCGGATGGTCTTCCTTCCAGTTAACCCATCTGATCTCACACCACAAAACATTCTCTAATTTAAGGGTCAGACACTGAAGACAGAAATCTGATACATTACTCAGTGGAAACAGTAAGTATTTATTGTCCCACACAGCAACAAATTATTTGCCTACAATCCCAGCTGGTGCTGCCTTCCGTGAATCCATACCACAACTCCAGGCTGCGACGTCTGAGAAGTTGGCAACAAGATCTTTGTTGCCACCAGCCTGACAGCTCATCTCACTGCAGCCCACAAACTCCGAACTCATTTTCATAATAGGGCTAATTAAGATGCAGCTGACTCCCATCTCCCTCTGCACTAATTACTGCAGGATCGGTGTTAGTTTTAAGGGGAAAGGACAGCAAAGGAAGGAAGGTGCCACCTACACAGCCTAGAAGGCACCTTTTTTGTGCAGGCAGCAGCTCTGCCTTACCTGTTCTTTTAGCTGGAAGGCGGAGTGGTGGGGTAGCATCCCCCCCGAGTCAGTGGAGTGGCAGGCAGGAATAAAACAAGGAACATTTTGAGGGTGGGAATTGGTGGAACGGGAGCAACCGTGAACTTCAAACCGCAGCGGCCAACTGTCCGACCCTGAGCCGCCTTCCCTCCCCACGGACAACTTCAGGCTGCACCTGGGCAGTAATTTTACTGGAAATCAAGAAACATCCCTCTACAGCACGGTTCTGCTGTTCCCTTTTTTGACTTATGCTACTTTTTGAGCTGTACCCTGTGTTTCATGCCTCCCCCTGGTGCAACTGAAGGAAGGGAGCAGGTAGCAGCTGACCCAGGCTGGTTTTTGAGGGATTTCAAAGAGCTGCCACCCTCACACATTCTGGGTATCCAAACTGTGTGACTTTATACTGGACAGATGTGAAGATCCTTGAAATTAAACAGAGTTCAAAACTCTATTTCAAATTTCTAATTTCAAAGCCTCTGTATTAAATCAACTACTGTCAGCAGGAGAAAATAAAACATGTCTTATTTTCATTTAGTTTTCTAAGCCAAGTACATCTCCGAAGGGAAACCCATCATGAAGAGAAACAGAAAAACACCCTTGTTCCTATCCTCCTGGAGAAATAACATAAATAAATGCACAAATAGCTGGATTTGAAAGCGGCTTCCAAAAAACTTAAAAATTCACAACAAAAAACTTGACCAGAGAAACCTGATCAACAACAGTAACTCCAGGATAAAGTGCAAGTGCCAAGCAGGAACTACACAGCAAATTCAGGATTTCTTTTTGGAATAGGACTTACCCGCTTAGACATCAGGTCAAAGCAGAGTTTATTCTCACTTGTGCCAAAGTTTATTATACCCTAGAAGAAGAAAGAATTTCTTGTTTATAGACACAAAAAACCATGTGCATAGACCACCTCAGCTACCACTTCACTAAATTGCCTCCAAAAAGCTTTCCAAGGAAAAGTCAAAACACAGTTCACATAAACTTCATCATCTATAACTCGAGACGTGTATCTACGTGTGCGTGTTTGCATATATATCCCAGGCACTCAGCTTCTCAGTCAATAAATTGTCTGCAAACGAATATGCACTACAGGTTTAGACTTCTTTACAGAATATGTTTTTACTTCATCTTGAAGTCACTCACTGGTATACATCTAACTACAAAAGAAACCCTAAATCAGTTCTGAGAAAAACAAAAAAAAACCTTTCTGCAGCAGTTTTAAACAAGGTTTTGGATACATTTCTTTATCTGGAAGCATTTGTTTATCAGTTATTACCATTCCATTCCACTGATTTGCTCAGAAACCACGTAAACATGCAGTCATGAAAAGTGGTTAAACCACTAGATTTTCCTCTCTGGAGGGGTGATCCTACTGTTCCAGGTTTAGGATTTGGCCCTGCTTATTGAGCACTACATTAGATCTTGAAGAGTTCAAATCTACTAGCACATTTTCATTCTACCAGCACATTTTCATTATTAGAAGAGGTTGGATAAATAAATTTTTAAAATGCGAAAGGAAATCTAAGCAACTGTCTGTTTAGGATGTTACTAAAGTAAAAGTCCAACTTTAGGTATTTGTTTAAAAAGCTGCCTCCTACATAGACAACAGCTGGTAAAATAGGCAGTTTGCACCTCGCAATGCCCCTTGTATCAAAAACTTCACTGTGTTTTTCTACCTTAAAAATCTAGTTTTCACCTCCCAACGCAGGGTGACTAAAGTCAGGGCTAATAATAAAACATTTTTGAAGTTTCAAGTAGTTCAGCACCTGAAGGTGGGATCTATTTAAAAGAAACCTACATCTATATCATGATTTATATTTACTATTCTTGTTACTCGGTAATAATTTGCCCTGAAGCATTAACACTCAGCCTTTGTGCCACAAGGGGGGTATGATGAGCTACTTAAAACTGAGCAGCAGAGTGCAAACAGGCAGAAAAAGTGCTGTTAGTCAGAATAATTTTTAAAAATAAAACAAAGTCTACTACTTAGTTGTTGTATCTCCTGCGCTCATCACCTGTAATAATCGGATATAGTCGGATAATCAGAGATGGTCTTCAGTGGGCAACAGAGGTGACAGGGGGAACAGGAGCTCTGTTCCTACAGATTTCTTACATCTCTCAAGGTCTACTACTGCTATTATTTCCCTGATAGGGAAGTAAGAGCTGAACATGGCACTCATCTTTGAGATACAGATGATCTGCAAAGCTGCATTTGATTCCTTTTCCTCAAACAAACAGCTTGACCTGCCATTAATTAGTGAGATTAAAAAAAACCCCCACACTTTTAGCGTATCTATCAGCAAACTCCTAAGTGTTCTTCCTAGCGAGAAAGCCAGGAGAAGACCTTCAGGTTCTCACTCACATTGGGGTTCTTGTCTTCATCATACTTGTCAGCGTGATAAGCTTTGTACCCTTCCTCGGAGGAGCCACGAAAAATGTTGGCGATGTTGCCGCGAGCAGAGAGGTAGGGGCTTCTCTGGAAGTCTCTGGGGTTACAGAAGCCGTGCATGTCGACCCTCCTCTCGGCAAGCGGCCGAGCCCTCAGCTCTTGCAGGTCACCACTGCCTCCTCCTCCTCCCATCCCCGCGATTTCGGACAGTGCCTGGCTGAAGTCCAAGCCCCGAGGGATGGCGACGGAGGAAGCGGAGCCGCTATGGCTCTGCTTTAGGATGCTGAGCATCTGAGCGAAGACGTTAAACATGCGGAACTCGTGCTCCCGCTCCAGTTCAAACCGGCGCTGTTCCAGTTGCATCCGACGCTCCTCCACGTCCAAATCTCGCTGAAATCGGCGTTCCTCCATCTGCAAAAAGCGCTCTTCCATGGCCCGCTGTGACGTCAGGGTCTTCAGCAAGAGATCGTCGAGAGGGTCTTTCACACGCTGGCCTTTCCGCTTCTTCCTCAGCCGATGCAAAGCGGAGAAGCCAGGACGGGGAACCACGTTTTGGATCCGCGATGAGTTTGCCATGTTGGGCTCACTGAAACCTGGGAATACGTAAAAGCAAGGAAGGAAAATTAAACGCGCAGCAAGTAAAGCGGCGTGGACGTGCTTCGCTGCCTTCCCCTGCCCTTCCTAGGAAACACCCTTCCATCTACTGTAGGGTCTTACAGGAAGAACCAAGTAAAACTTGTCAGGGACATGTTGAAGCTCCTGAGGTTTTTTTGAAGCTTGTTTTTAACTTCAGACGTTGGGCGCCCCGTGATGCCACCAGCCCCAGCCCCGTCCTCAGCCTCTGAATTAACCTGAACGTTCATCAGTTCCATCCCCTGGACTAACTACGTAGCCCCCACGGTAATGAGAACATAGCATTTTCTCCTGATCTCAGCCATTAACCTCACACTGGTTATCGTCTCTCTCCCTCCCAGTCATGCCATGCTCTTCCATCAGCCTCTCCTAGACCACTTGGAACTCCCCAGGACTTCCAGACTGTGCCCTTCCTGGCAAGCTGGCAATGCCCAGCTGCACTTTCATCTCCTGTAAACAGGTACGCTGTTTCTGCCAGTGACTTTCAAAAACACCTTCTTTCCATGTCCTAAGGAATAGCCTAGAAAGCCAGGCAATGATTATTCCCAAGCATTCTTCATCGTCGAGTGTCCTAAAAGATTAGATCCGGGCACCATTCGAAAGGAATGCAAGGAAAGTTTCACCTGGAGGTTCATAGAGTAGCCATGGCAGAAGAGGGTCTCCTGATACAATTCAGCATGAGGACTGCAGACAGCCCTGGTGATGCTCAAATTAAAGCAAAAAGCACGCAATTTTTATATTTTTTTTTTTCAGTAAGGTAAATCCTGTCAGCATTATACGCAGAATCTAGCACAAATGCCTAGCCCGGCTTACGGCAGACATTCCAGACCTTTGGATTTCATACACAACATTCAGCCTAGCGCAGTAATTTTAGATTTTATTTACCCGCAGCGAGATGGAATGGCCAGAAGACCATGAATGCAGATACCAGCCTTCAACTTTAAAGCTTTTTGGAACGTGGAACAGTAAGGATCCAAATGTCAGTGCGAAAGCCAGGTGTCTATCTCTGCACCAGAAAAAAAAAAAATCTCTCTCTTTCCGGGAAACCGGGCAGAAACCTGATGCTGGAATGTAAAAGGCTCTCCCTACCTGAAGGTGAAACACTGGTTTCAATGGGAATCTCCACCCTGGAGATGGGAGAGTCGTTCTGGGCCCTCTCCAAGAAGGCTCTCTCCATCTCATGTTCTTCAGGGGAGCCCTGCTGGTAAGACATGGCTGGTGGGGGCTCTGGGGTCAAGCAGTGCTCATCAGAGTTCACCTCCTCACATTTGATCTCCATCAGTTCAGGGTGCTGGGAGTGTCCAAAGGGCAGGGCCGAGGAGGAGAACTGGTGATGGTAGGTGTCCACCATGCCGCCCTGCAGCACCTGCTGGGCCATCATGCTGCCGC